TACACCATAACGTGTCCGAGGCAGCGAAAGGGTACTCAATTTGCTCGCACTGCAAGGTCTCGGACTTACTATACCAGGAGAGCTTGTTGTACTTTACCACGCAACCGGTAATCTTTTTCATACTTGGCTGCTTATCCTACCGGTAGCACTCGAAGCCAGCTGTTCGTTCAAACGTGTCCTGAACGTTTTAATTTAACCAGATCCCTGGGGCACGTACAACGCATGTGTTGGAAATGATACTTGTGTTCAGAATTGTAGGTTCAATCGAAGATATTTACGAAGAGCGAGTGGACGTCAGTGCTGTCCAATGATGTCACGGTCATCTTGGCAGGAAGTGGTGCAAATAAGTGCAATCTGTATTACTACTTTAACTGTACTTCACATGTGGCACTTGAATGTGCAACGGTTACAATTACGAGCTGCTGTTAACACCGCTTGTAATAACCATGCAACTCAAGATCACTTTGATAGTGTTGTCTAGTGGGAGACAGTTGTGTAAAAGTGGAGACTTTTAAAATGGAAAATGTGCGAGTCGCATACATCCGAAAGCGGTTTGTTATGAAAGAGGAGAATAAAATGAAAACGTTTTGTCTTCGTGAGGTTTTATACTTCAAAGTTCACATTCTTGCGTTGTTGCTTCACATTCCTTGTCACCGAATTCCTATTTGCCTCCCCCTCGTTCCTCTGTCAGACTGTTGGGATCGCTGTGGAGTTTTGTGCACACATCGTTCGGGCGTTCTCAGTCAGTAGCGAGCCGACTCGTGTCGGTCGTGCCAAAGCTGCGCTATCCGATATGGGAAGCTCTGTGAGTTGTGTTTCACAATAGCAACTTGTTGAAGCCTAGCCTGTTGTGTACCTCACTTGTGATATGCATTTATCAGTTGGCTTATTGCATAGTGAAACAGTTAGTGTGGCCTCGATAGACCAAACTATTGACCTCGCAGGTCCGCTGCGGTAGGAATTGGGAACGTCGACGCTGGCGTTAACGGTGCATATTCGAATCCCACAGAAATCTCACTGGTCTCTTCCTAATTCAGGCCCAAACTATCCCTGTCCAAATCACTTCATTTGAACAGTTTTCATATTTTCACTTAGGTTGTGCTGTCACTCCTTCAAAATCGTGCTGTCCTCCTTATCTTTCCTAATCCGCATTCTCTCTCTCACAAAGCATGCTGCCTTGTACGAATCGGTCAGCTCAGTCAATTCATTTTCACTCATTTCTGTTTCTTTTTCTTCAAACTTATTTCATCTTCCCTCGTGTTCCACAGTACAAACAGAACCCGCTTCATTGACCCGTTATAGCCGCTTTCCAATCAGGTCTTATTTGCACCGAGTGGAAACAGAACTAGTGAGTTGCACGCATTCATTATGGACTCGCGTGTGCGTTACAAATAGACTGACTGATTTCTTTGCCCGAACATGGGATGCTGCAGTCACTTTCATGTTCCATTGTGAATTGAGGTTACATAATCAGTGAAGAAGCCGGAAATGTTTGCTTGTGTGTGTGTGTGTGTGTTTCAGCAAAGTCGAACATCATCCATCTCCAAATGGATTAGACATGGAACAGTTTAGGTAGTGTTCTCGATTTGACGATTCTCCCCGTAATCTGACACCGAAACGTGATTGTCATTGGAAGTTCACGGTTGCTGTTTTGCAGTGACCAACCACCTGAATGAAACCCCACTAGAAATTCCTGATAGCGTAGTGGCAAAGGTTGACTCCACCATAGCCAAAATGATTGATTCTTACAACCTCTTGTTTCCCGGTTCGAATTCCAGTATATATGCGATTGCGATGTGCCGCTGTTTTTCCCCTAGCAAGTCCAAAATCTTTTCGACACTGATGGACACCGATTCTACATGGTAGTTATGCACTTGATGAACTCTGTTTTGGTCACCCTTAACTGATCCTATTTTGCTGCTACGCGTCAGCTGATTGTCTGGCAGTAAGCAACGCCGAATTCTTCATTCGGTCATTTTCGTTGATAGAACTTTTATGGAATGATAGACTAATTCCCGTACCCATTGTTGATCCTGTTAGCATCCCCGGACACCGGTGTCAGACTTGTTTCCAACAAGTCAGGTATTTGTGAGAACAATGCGATATTTTTCATCCTGTATAGCATTGTATCTCTTTGATTTTGATTGAAATTCTACGATAGTCCGATTCATTCAGTATTCACCTATTCTAAATTAGGAAATAATTCATGGGGACGATCCGTTTGAATCAATATTTTCCACACTACTATTCATACGTATCCTGAAGGTTAAATGTGAATAATTCGAGATTCTGCTCAACCCATACGAAGAAAATCCAACATGAAACGCTGACGAACAAAGATTGATAGCATTATTATTTGTTTTCACTTTGAAGGTGCAACATTCAATCTGCACGTCCTTCAGTCTCTATTATCTTCCTTTTCTTTTCTAAATATATAAAACATTAAATGCTGTCAGTTCAAATGTTGGAATAGAAAATAACTTTTTTGTTTCACCGGCATTGTCTTGCGAGGGATTTGGATTTACCCATTGCTTCCATATACCCTGTCGAAAGGGTTCCAGATTTAGATCTTACAGCAGCCGATTTGAATGGAATTGGTATCGTCTGTGAACTTTTCTCGTACTCAGCTAATCACAGACTGTCCGTTCGTGGCATTCCAGTGATGATCCCCATTATTCCGAAATTCCAGTACGCTGTCACTGGCAGTACTGACACACGTGCAACGCATTCGCAGTTCCACATCGGTTACGTGGTGTTCGATATTCGATCTCAATGCTGGTTCTCAACTCGTCTACCCCTTGAAAACAATTCAAATTGCATCCTCGTCTTCACTATTCTTCACACAGTTCAAACATCCAGTAACTTCAAGCACATGTGCATCACTGCTCTATGGTTAACATGCTGGTAGACTTATCTTCTTGTGTCCATCTATTGAAGTTATTAGCCTGAAAGTAAGCAGGTGACTTGTTCGTATAGACGCATTGTACGATACAGTAAACAGCTTGCACGATACTTCTGCCTGTCGTGCTTTTTATGCACTTGCAAACACCACGAACTGCCTTGTCAGAGAAAGAGCTTTAGAAAACATTTTATATCGCTTGAATCCTCTGACTGTTGATTTACAATATGTCGTATTAAGTGCAATATTTACAGGCTGTTCATTTCACTTGCTTCCCTTCCTCTCCTCCCGTCGTCTGCTCGCTCATCGAATTCTGTTTTCCCACAGATCCTTCGAGGTATTACCTTGACGAAACTCGGTGGAATAGTAGTCCTGGCATTTTCCAAATCTCGTCTGTTCCAAATATTCTATTTCCGCATGTATCTGGGCCTCATTCTGTTCGGAGCTCTAACGGGACTGATAATCGTTCCTGTGTTTCTCAGCTATCTCGGTAAGTGTCGTTTCTATTTTGTAGCACACAATGCAAAACTCGAGGTTACAAACTAGCCGCAGTGAACAAATAATGTGCAGATCATGTCCGTTTTTTCACCTTTGTGATTATGTTCTTCGCTCCTTTTGCACATCAGCGAGATTGGGCTTGTTTCATTCTATTCCGAGAGTGTCTCATTCTATAATGTCACCTCCTATCCCGTCTATTTGCGGGATCTTTCTAAATTATTCCAAAATTTTCGATCAGCGAACATCTTCATAGTCGCCGGAGACTTCAGTGCTCAAGTGGGATCCCTGGACAAATCAGAAAGGTTTCTTGACGGATCGCATGCCATCCCAGTCAACCGGACGGACAACGGAGATTACCTACTTCAACTCTGTGCGGAACATGGACTGTTCCTGCCAAGCACGAACTTCTTGCACAAGCAACGACACCGCCTTACATGGAAACCGCCAATCTCTTCACTGCGCTAGACCTAGATCAACCACATCGCCATCAGTTACCACTGGTGAGGGTCGATTCAAGACTGCCGTTCTTACTGGTCCGCACCTGTGGATGTGGATCCCGCTTTGCTACGAGCCAAATTCTCCTCACGCCTGGCAAACAACCGCGAAAAAGCCACTGACAACGGATACGCACTATACAGCGTCAGCGGTTGCTGCAAATCGGCCTTCGAAGCAGAACTCTCTGATCGCCTATCAGCTCAATCCACAGGCGAAGGTCTCCGCGAACACTGGAAGCTATACAGATATCGATAAAAAACAACTTTGGACCCTGCAGCAAGTTCCATACACAAGCGATGCATCTCATCGACCTCGGCTGCCCTGCTGGACGCTCGCAGAACCCTTCCTCCGGATGCCACATATGCCACCGCGCAAGCCCCTCAGACGCCATCTCATCAGTAGTCTGAGGAATAACCACGAGAAATGGTGGATAGGGAAGTGCAAAGATATAGAGAAAACCTCGGCAGTTGGTGGTAGTCGCAATCTTTTCCGTCTAATTAGGAATATGGGCCCTAGGAAAGTAGGTGTATGTGAGGTAATTTATGAATCTGATGGCACACTGAATCACCATCAGCAACGCTGTCTTGACCGTTTGACTGAACATTTTAAGGCTCAGATCAACTGCCCCCCCTTCGACACGTGAACTGTCACCCTCCGCCTCGGCTAGGCAAATACTCCCAGTTGATGCTAGTTCTCCATCTAAAATGGAGGTATCCCGGGAAATAAGCTATCTCAGAAGGCAGGAGGCCTCCGACCCAGACGGGCTGTCCCCATCGGCTTTTAAGGATGGAGGTTGAGCCTTGGTTTCGGAGTTACAAAACTGCTGGGTTCAGTGCGGGAAAAGGAACAGGTTCCAACTGAATGATGTGAATCGGTCATCATAACGATTTACAAGAAAAGTGACATATCCTCTTATGAAAACCACAGAGGAATTAGTTTAATCAACATCGTTTCTAAACTTCTCGCTGGTATCATACTCCGTCGATTGTCTGCCGCACGTGAACGGTGCACGCGTCAGAACCCGGCTGGCTTGAGACCTGGTCGAGGTTGTATCGACGATATATTCACTCTTCGCCAAATTCCGGAGCACCGACCCTCCTTTCATAGAACCGCCATCTCTGCCTTCCTGGATCTGAAATCGGCTTTCGACTCAGCCGACCACTCTAAACTCTGGCGCTACCTTTCTCTGAAAGGTGTGCCCGAGTAGTTTATTTCAATATTACAATCCCTTTATACTAATAACGGAAGTCGAATACGAGCTTACAGCACTTTCTCAGCCGAGTTTACCACAGAAAGTGGTGTTCGTCAGGATTACCCTCTATCTCTCCTTTTCTATTTAACT